CTCTCCTGGTATGGCAGTTAGCTTACCGGCTTTTGCAGCTTCACCAATTTGAATTAATTCGTTGTCTAGTTCTTTGATTAGGTCTTCTGAATGTTGTAGCTGCATATCAAAGTTCAACTGTTGTGCATTATTTAAAGCTACTCGAAGTTCTGCCAAATGAACTGACAACTGTTGACTAGTGGACTGCAGGTGAGTTGCAACATGTTGGTCCATAACCGAAGGTACGGTTTGACGAGCAACTTCTACAAGACGAGTAGCGGGTTTCAATACCTAAAATCACATATAACACACAGCAACTATTCAAATAACTTGAGAACCCAGCTTCTGAAACATTAATAAAGTAAAAAAAAGAAACTAGAAGAAAGCCCAAAAAAAATCAAGGATAATGTTAAGCTTTTAGATACAGAACATTCACATGTGCTTAACTAGTCCAACAGTTGCTCTTACACAGTTGTTGGTTCTTGAAACTGAACCTTTTTACAAAAAGAAGAAACTTCTACAGCTTAAAAAGATCACTTTGAAAACAGTGACTGCAAAACTTACCGCGCACAAGTTATTGACACTTAATGTAACTCAACCAACGCTTCAGCTAAAAAGTGCTAGTAGAGAAATTAATTGTAATTGAATTTTTATTCGCTTTCAGATCACTTTACCGAAGCATACGCGATTATTACATTATGCAGAAGAAAATAATACCGTGCAGAACGTGATAGCAGACAAAAAGTTAATACTGAGCATTTTCATCGAGATAATGATGTCCAAATATGATACGACTTCTCTCCTGTTCGTGAAAAAACCAAAAAACAAAAATCTACACTTAACTGTCTTAAGCAAGCTTATCCCAAAAGAAAAAACAAAATAATAACAGCCAACAATGTGAAGCAAACATTCACAAGCTTAAAAAATTTAAAAGCGAGAAAAACAGCTTGCAAATTCACTAGCAATTACTTGCACCAATACCCCAAATCCAATACAACAATTGGTCTTCATAATAAAAAATGACTTAATAAAGCGAATGTTCATGCGACTCTTTATTGATACATATTTTGGAGAGGCAGATACTAACTAATACTGAACTAATCAATCCCTCATTTTAATACTAAAAGCGAAAATCAGCAGATATTGCATCTTTGCGACGATGCTGGAAAGAGCAGGCAGGGAAAGTAGCAATATTTAACGATAGCCAAGCAAGATTCAAAGTAGTGAACCTACGGGAAAACCTGTTTGTTTCTAACCTGAGTTGTGTCCCTTATAAGATTGCTTTGAGCTCGAAATTTTTCACTTGCGGTATGAGCGCCCTGACTATCCTTGATAGAAGCAATAAGCGGCGGTACACGTTCAGCTGTTTCTTGACATTCAACAATCAGAGTCTCTGTCACTGTACGAGACTGTATGTGCTGATGACATGCATTAGCTGCAACAATTGTCTGTGTCGCTGCTGTAGCAGTCTGTTTCGCGGCCTTAAATGTTGAGATTTTGAGAAACAGTAAAAAAATTTGTAAAATCAGAAAAGAATTTTTTTCATTTCGAACTTAAAAATCACTATATTTACTTGTTCGAGATGTTCCATAATACGTCTGCTTTGTTGCTCACTAGTTGCTTCGCTCGTGACTGTTACAAGATTCTCCGCAGCTGATCGTAATGCCATTTGCGATTCAACTGCTTGAGGATGAGACTGGCATTCCTGAAAATAATTTCTAAAAACAATGCTTGTAAATAGCATTTTAAAAAAGCTTGATCTCGTTTAGCAAGCCTCAACATACACATAGAAATATCAATTCCAACCAGAAGAGGGATTTTTATCACCCACATTTACTCCGTAAACCAATAAATAATTTAAAAAATGATTAAGAAAAATTCGAAATAAATTACCTTAGTCGCATCTATCATATTACTCGTCGCCCGTGCCACAGATCTAGCAGCATCAAGCAAACGATCCCGATTTTCCGGTGTTCTGTCAGCCTCGGCTTCTATTTGATTAACTAAGATTCGACTGTGGCGAATCGCACTCTCTCCTTGACGAATCATGTCTTCTGTTGGTCCCTGAACCTCATTACGATACATCGCAAAAAACTACGCCGAAAGCCATTATAAAATAACTTCAAACTTCAACATAATTGTAAAATCAAATATAATTACTTGATAGGTTATGATCTTTCTGGACTGATTCAAAATTTTTTCGTACTCATAGACTTCCTGTGACGACTTTGTTTGTTTAGGAGATGTTTTCACATGCAACAGCAGGTCATCTAAAGCGGTAGTGACCTGCAGAACAGAAACCATGCAGCCAAAAGTAAAACTGAGATACCTCATAGAAAAAGATAAATGATAAACCGAATACAAAAATATTTCTTTACCTGACGAGCAGCATCATGAATATCACTGAAGAGACGTTGCCCATCATCAGTACTCCTTTCACATGCAGCTCTTGCATCAACTAAAAGCTCTTCGACTGCCTTAGCCACCTGTTTTGCAGCATTTGTCAACTGATCCTGACAGGCTGGTGATTCAATAGTCGGTGCCACAACACGAGCACAAGCAACTAACTGCGATGTAGCAAAAGCACATTGGGTTGCACTATGAATAACCTTATCCTGCAGAGCTGGCTGTTCGCATTTCGCCGATATAGTTTTTGCTCTAAACATCTAGCAATAAAGTTTTCAAAAAACTACGTTAAAAAATAAGATTTTGAAACTTAAACATTTGTTCAATTCTTACAAAATAAACTTCATCCAAAATCAGAAAATCATTGAATCTGGTACAATACATTCAACTACCTGAGGACCAGTTGAGCAGTAGATGTTGCGACATTTTTTGCTCTGAGAACTAAATGGTCATGAAATTCTCTCGCTTCCTGCGTCGGAGACTCCATCGTTTCCATTACTGCTTGGGACATATCTCCGACGCGACCAGCAGCTGCCAGTACAGTAGTTCTCTTCTCCTCATGTTCAGGATTGACTGTCGTTAGAAAATCGGAGAAAGCTCCACAAAGCCGGCGGGCAGCGCCAACCAGATCTCCTAAGCGGAGAATGAATATTAACTTGAAAAAACAGACAAAAAACAAGGAGGGAGGGAAAGACCGAGCAAAATCTTAGGAGTGAAGTAAATGTTACCTGCACGCTGTTTATCCGGCATAACAGCAGCAAGTTCCCTCACTCCCCGTCCCATCTCAGGTAAGTTTGATCCTATTGTTGCAATGGCATTCCCTACACGAGAATCGATTTCATCTGGAACCGCAGTAAGTTGCACAACCTGGGCGGTTGCTGCACCCATTTGTGCGAGTTGATCACCAACCTAAACGTACCAAAAATTCTTTTTTTTAATGTCACGAAAGTAATGCTAAAAACACGTTAGTATACAAGCATAATAACTTTCAAACCTTCTGTTTCTCGACTTCTACTTTAGTTTCAACCCAACGTCTTGACTGTGGATCGTCGGTAAACCGCGGAAGTTCAATCTCAATCGGCTTTTGCATCTCTTCCTCAGCTTGTTCCACAGCCCGAATCGAAGCTTCAATTGTTCCTATGAGAGCGCGTTGAGCTCTTTCTTGAGAATTAACAATCCTAGCCCTTTGACCCTAAATTACAAAATCTAACCCAGAAATAGCAAAAAAGATACCGCTGATTAGTTGATTAACTAACCTTAGAAATCTGCTGCTGAAGGATTTGTCCACTGACAGCACCGTATTGGGCTCCATCCAACACGCTCCTCTGTCCGGTGCCGGCAACTCCTGGCGTTCTCAACACGCCTGGAATCGCTACATTTCCCTCAACAGCAAATCCTTCTCCAACTTGACCATGAGCTACGAGAGTAGCACGTGCAGGAGCCACTACGTCTTCGAGCATTGTCGAACCTTCGTCCCCCTAAAAACCAAATAATTTACATAAAACTACATCAATGAGTACCAGTAAAGGGTAAAACTCATTCCGAGCTTTCACAGAATCTACCTCAACACCAAAATGATCTCTTGTTCGCTTCTTTTTAAGAATGATGTCAATATAGCCGGCTATAAGTTGAGCGATTTTTTCCCCATCGGCAGTCTGTACAGCGTAATATCCCTCTTGGTAGTCACCGAAATCCTTTAAAGAATGAAAACGTCAATGCTTCTCTAGTTTGCTATCCCTGGCCATAAATCTTGAGAAGTCAAGGTTAAAAAATCAAATTTGTGAAAAAACTTTAAAAAAACATAATAGCCATTTCAATACCAGCACACTGCAAAGTAATAAGCATAAGTAATAAACCAATGTGAAGGTTTTCGGAGATGCTGCCCACCGGCGAACTTGTTCCAAAGGCCATTCTTGTAAAACTTCCTTCGTTTTCTCATCGACACGCATCACACATTCCTTGTTTACCCCAAGTAACCGTGGAACGAGTTTATTCTTCCCTTTCATTTTTTCTTTTACAACAAAAAATGTCACTCCGTAGGTTACTAATGAGCGACAAAGATGCACATATTTGCTCTTGGCGTCCAACTCACTTTTCCCAGCTAATTCTTTGTATGATTCAATAATGCGCTTCTCATTGTCTTTAGATTTTGCATACTCCTTGGGTAATATCTCCCGAAGACTGAAAAACTTAGAGCGCGTGAGGATTAACACAAGAATTAGA